TGAGAGTGCAACTGACCTTATAACCTCTTTAATGAAAGAATAAAACCATTTTAAGGATGACAAGATAGGGCTCAAAGTGGAGACTGATAAGCTCATGACTAAAAAGGTTAGCCATAAAGAATTCAAAGATGCTACTTGAGGACAAATCATAAATCAAGCCGATATAATACGCTATTTGAATACTTATGTAGAAGACTTAAAAAGGAAAGATAGAGTCAACCAAGAAAAGAATGGCTAGGTTCCAAAAAGAGCATGAGCTAGTTATCCAAGCTACGATGAAGGAAAAAGACATCTTGAAGAGAGAAGTAGCTAAATGGTGGCAAAGACCATGAAGTACCACCCGTAAGCTCAAAATACCAAGAACTATGCCTTACAAATGTGACCCACCATTAAGAGTTTAGGCGATGGTATACGTCCGAACGATAAGAAAGTCTAGATTTTTTGTAAGAGACTCATAAAAATTATAACTAGCGTAATTCCTATGAGGGTTTGAGGTTGTAGTGAGACATAGAGTAGGATCTCATGTAATAAGACTTTCCATGCTCATAATTTTCTTCTTTTTCTTGAAATGGCTCTAAGTTCTATTTAGGCTGTGTTAGAAGTCTAGATTTCAATTTAATAGAAATGTCTTTTCAATGCAATTGGATAAATTATACCTTTTATTCCTTCAATAAAAATGGCTCTTAGTCATATTTAGAATATGCTAGAACGTTAAATTTCAAGTTTCTTCGGTATTATCTACCATGGCTTCAATTATATTGTCGTAGGGTGACATCGGGGCGAGCACGATGAATTTGGAAGAAAATTAAAAAAATGGGCAAAAATAACTAGAGTTGCCACTTACTATTATTGTTACTAAAAAATTCTATGACCGAGTCTATTCGGATTTTTGGATAAGGGGTTTATTACGTGTAAGGAAGATTAAAAATCACTCTATCCTGTCTTGTCTAAGACAAGTTGTATTGCATACAACATTAATTTGATTTCTAATTTTTCTAACGATTAATATCTATGCCTATTTTCAAATATTTGCCCATCGATTGAGTGAGTTGGGATTGGCCAATCAAAGACCTCATCCTCACTCTGTAATTAATGGTTAAAAAAATGAAAAGGGCATGATGAATGCAAAGATATATTGCTAATGAGACTTAAATGGCTTACATGAAAAAAAAAGCTTAAAAATAGTCAAATAAGCATACAAACAAAATAAGCAAATCAACAAAATAGCCAAACAAGTAAAAATGGATAAATAGGTAAATAATGACAAAATAAGAAAATAGATTGAATCAACAAATAGGAAAAAAATAGGCAAAATCGAAAAAAAACAAAAAGGTAAAGCTGGCAAATAATAGCAAAATAGATAAAATCAACAAATTGACAAAATCGAAAAATAAGCGAGTTAGGAAAAAATAGGTAAAATATGCAAATAGGCAAAAATAGACAAAATCGGCAAGAATGAGCAAATAGGCAAATACAAGCAAGTAGGCAAAATAGGTAAAATAGAAAAAATGAAAATAATTGTGAAAATCCTAGAAGTTGGCAAAAACAAATGATAGCAAAATCGATGAAAGTGATAAAGGTGGTAAAATCAACAAAGTTGGCAAAAATAATAGCAAAAATGACAAAAGCGATAAAAAAAACAATAAAGTTAGCAAAATTGGTAAATTTGGCAAAACATGGCATAAAAATAGAAGCAAAAATCAATAAAGTTGCCAGAAATGGCTAAAAATGATCCAACAATAGGTGTTCAAATCGACATAACCATGAATACGAAGGCTTCTAAGCAAAATAGACAAAAATACCAAATTAATTCTCACAATGTGAGACAATGATCACAAACGAGGCTCAAACCAATGCGAGCTTGGAAATCATATTGTTTAAGACAAATTAGCACAATATTAATTAACCATTGAAATGAAAAAAAAATCCAAAAATAAAATTCGAACCGACGCCATTCAAAAATCATAATTTCAATGAAATGTCAAAATTAATCGATATTTAACAAAACTATCCCAAATAACAAGGTTCGAACCAACATGATTTGAATTTATGTTTTTTCCATAAAAGTAGCGCGTGAGTGATTTAACATTACTATTAGCAAAAATAGGCCAAAACATAGCATGAACCAACATAAAGCAAATATTTTAAGACAAATTGGAATGATTTCATTAATTATCATGATTGACAAAATGGTCAAAAATCGAGATTCAAGCCCACATATCTTAAAAAAAATCACACAAATAATAATAAACATCCAACCACATCGATGAAGCACAAATATCTAGACCAATACAAATGCAATGGCAGTTTGATTAAATCATATGCACGATAAAGTTTAATCAAATCATAAATATGAAGTTATTTAATTAATTTACACAATAATGAAAACTTAATTAATTATAGATACATTAGCACGTATTGAATTTATTAGACATTAAAATTAAATAAAATAACATAAAAGGTAAAAGTAAATTACCGTAAAAAAGGCAAAATCAATTTGTCCGACGAACTTGGGGTTAGTTCTAACCTTTTTAACCTCGATAGAGATTGATATTTAATCAACTAGGGAGAAAATATGGCTTGCCGGTTGTCAAATCTAGATTAGGTGGTCTGCTGAAGGGGTTGGATTGACTATGGTGGTTGTCGAATGTAGAGCGATGGTTGTTGGAGGGACGCACATAAGTATGACTATTGAAGGGGCACACAAGTGAGTGGTGACTACTAAAGAGGCACGTACATGGAGGAGGGATAACCGACTAGATGCTAAAGTTGGAGGCAAGGTATGTACAAATGTGGTTGGTGAACAAATCGCGCATAAAGGAGTGATGGCTAATTGAGATGCATATGCACTAGTATGGCTATGGGATGTGGAAGAGTAATCTTCTATGTTACGAGCTAGATAGCTACTAGGATGGGTGGATCGGTGATAAAGGATTGGGATGTAATTTTAAGTGGAAGGAAAGCTATCGTGGTGGTAGGGCTCGGACGATGACGAAAGGCTGGACGGGCAACGGATTCGGTGAAGGAGAGGCCAAATCGAGGCGCTAATAGTGATGTGTGATCGATGGTTAGAATTTCAAGAGGGAGAGGCAATCAATTGGTTTTTTAAGGAGAGAAAATCAAAAAAATTTCGGAGAACAAAGGGCTTTATACTTGATTTTTTTTAGGGTTTTTTGGTCGAAGTTTAGTTTGATCCCTCATTTCACCAACCTACTTTATTTTGGTCATTTTCTCTTTCTTTTTCAATTGTATCCCTTTAATAGTGTTTAAACGCTCCTCAATAGCTGTGAGCTTCTCCATTTTGAATCACGAGACTATCTTTTTCTTGGCCGGCTCTTCGATGATGAAATCGATAGTTGTCGCCATCGGTGTTGTGACGATCAGAGGTAATACCATGGCGGGACCTAAAGGTCTAAGAGCAAAATCATATGTACATGTTGAATAGTTGGCATGATTAGTGAAATCGATGGGCTCTAAATAAGGCATACCAAAAGGTGATGTTAGAGCGGTAGTACGAATGATCAGCACTAACATAGTAGTGGATACCTTTAGGAAAGGCGATGATTGGCCGACTTATCTTTGGAAGATAATTTTTGAAGTAATGTGATTTTGCTTACTTGTTCCAATAGAGTAACAAGCCTAGCAATCTCTTTCTTTAGTGCCTTTACCTCATTTTGGTGATTTTGCTCGAGTAGAGCTCTTTCTTCATTCTTTATCCTTTCTCTTGCTCTAGTGTGATAAATGCATAAATAATTTTGGTAGAATGAAAGCATATTTATACTCAAACAAAAGAAAAAAATACAAGATATAAAAATATATTAAAAATAAAATGACACTCGAGGCGAGTATATGGAATAGCCTTCATATGGAGGGTGATAAAAGGACTTCGTTATTGATTCTATAATGGGTTGAGACTATTTTAGATTAGTTTAAAGGTGAACTATTATTTCAATAGTCACCTTGAGATTTTGACCAAAGAGTTCACTCTGTGGCCATTCGATTTAAAGATGAGATTTCATTTCATCAAAACCCTTATTTTCTTCAAAGAAACAATCATGTCACGAGATAAAAATGATCTCATGCCCTTAGATAGAAATGATCTCTTTATAAATGTTCTCAAATCTAAGGAAATCATTCTCTCATAGGTGTTTGGTTTGAAATAAATCATTTCTTATCCAAGGATCGAGTAACCAACAATATTTCCTTTTCTTCTTAGCACTCGAGCGAGAATTGGTGGATTCAACAACATTGTTATCATAAAAAAGCATCCTCATTTGATTATCATTTCCTTCGCAAGAAGATAAATATCACCAATGGAGAAAAATGCTAAAGCTTTTATTAATAAAAATTGAAAATCTAGGTAAAAGTTTGATTCCATTTGCAATACATTTTTCTTTCAAAATGAGAAAATACACTCAAAAGAAAAGAAAGCATATATATCTTGTATCATACTTAAAAGACTATTTTTCTCATTTGGCCACTTCAAACAGTAGGTCATCATATCTCTTCAAGTATATCATGAAGGACTCATGTGGATTGTATTGTGTCTCTTCATGGATGTTTCTACTTAAATTCCACTAGAGCTATTGCCTCTCAAATAACCACATTAGCTTGATTATTCATCCTGATTAGATTTTTATGACATTCATCACATATTTACAATAAGTGATTTTACTTGTTGGACCAATACACAAATCATCTATGTTGGTCTACCTCTAGCTACTTGGTTATCCCTTTCTAATAAAACAATCTTCTTTTGAGCCTCCTCGAGTTTTTCTACCAATTCTTTTTTGTTGTTGTATTCCACCCCAAGAGAGTTTGCCAAGTCAATATTCTTCTTTAGAAGCTTTTTTATCTATATTTTTTTGATACCCACATCATGGTTAACTTGATCAAATTAATGTTATAGATCATTAAAGTCGGTGGACTTCGAGGATAACTCTATTTGGAATTAGAGATAGAGGGTCTTCTAGTTATCCTCTTCGGCTACTATGTCTTACCATATTTGAAGCTCTACGTCCACTTCTCTCATTTTATTCTCAACCTCTTTCCTTTTCTTCTTTTCCTTAGCTAAGTTGCTCATTATCTTTATTACCTCGGCTTTGAGGTGCTTAATCTTCTCTTTCATTTTATCTTTAATAGACTTAGCTTCTACGAGTGTCATTTTTTCTCTCTTTCTTTTTCCAAAGGTTTGGCTTAAAATTTCCTTAAAAGATATTTAAGAGAAGTCATGGTTTAGATAAAATCATTGATGGAGGTATGTTGGGTTGAGTTGGGTAGACTAGAGGCTTGTAATTTGTCACTCTTGTTGATTGCCAAATAAGATACCTTGTAGTGGTGGTTGTCTCTCAACCAATTATTTTTTGATGTACCATTCCTTGCACCGATCACTCTTCCTTGATGATCCCTAAAAATTTAGGTAAGGAATCACTCTTCAAACTTCCTTCGAACTTAGTAAGGCCCTTTTTTCCTTGGTATGTACTACTCATAATCCAACTAGTAAGATACCATGGCTGGTGCATAGCTCGTGTAGCCTATTACCCCAATAAGGGGAACCCACGAGCATCTCCCATAATAAGCCAAATAAAAGTTTTTATTTATCCATACCATCGTCCTAGAAATTGTGATGGTTGGTAATTTAAGGAACGTAGTCATCAATTTATGTTTTGAATGGTTTTTCTAGATTATAATGATAACTTCTCTTAGTGGTTCTTGATCAATCCTTGAAAATAGACTTATGAGCTTCAATGTGACTGATAATCCAAATAAAAAACAATTGTACACAGCCCCTCATAGCACCTTTTCCTATTTTACGATTGTGATTCAAAGATAGAATAGTCTCTACTAGCACCACTTGTAGTAGGATTTATGTTATTCTTTTTAACCTCGATAAACACATTGGCTACATCTAAGCTAATTACCCCATTGATCGAAGGGAATAGTACTATCTCAAAGATGTCGAGGGCTAGGATCTTGACCCTTTTAGAACTATCTCTTGGATCTCTCAAGCATTGCTTAAATGCTTTATGACATGTTTCCAGTGCTAACCTTTGATTGCACCCTTTACCCATTTACGAGTTTTATTTTCATTCAACCAAGTTTGAACCCTATTGATAACCTTATCATGATGATGGTAGAGATGTATTGAATATGGAGAATTTGGCCTCTAAAGTAGCTAGTGATACTCTTTGAGAGTAGGGGTCATATCAATATTTTTGAAAGTGAAGCACCAATAGAAAGGGTCCCACGACTAGATTATCACCTTGATTGTCAACTTCGAATAGAATCTCAAGTAAAACAACCAAATTTTTATATTTAATCCTAAGCTTTTATCGATCTGTTGGTACCAACTGGTTCCAATACTTTAGAAGTTTTACAAAATCATTGATTACTACCTAAATGAGCACCAAATCTTGAAGGTTATTTTGAAATCCCCTATCAAACAATCACTTTTTTTTAACTACCTCATACTTCCTTTAGTATTCAAAGTGTCGTCTTGAAATGCATATTGGTCCTTTTATTATCCATCCTAAAACATTGTAACCAAATTATTTCGAGTCAAAGTTTTATTTAAATTTTACTTACCCATGACATTTATCGGGTAAAATCCTAAGGTCTAGTTTTAAGTCATTATGTGAACAAGATAGGATCTATCTAAGTCTCGAAAGGGTCTCTTCAAGCTCGATGAATCATAATAGAATCATTGGGACTCGCTAAAGGCAATGATTGGTAAGCATAAAAAATCATCGATTACTCATCACGCGATAGCGATTAATGAGAAGAGTTGAGATTTCATGAGTGTTTACCCGAGGCGAAACCTATATGGGCACCACTACTACCTCCTTAAGTTTTAAGGCAAGTGTGTGATAAACATGAAAATAATGGTAAGTGTAGCATATGCATATGGATTATTCCATATCTAGTCCCAAGCATAAAAATAAAGACAAAAATAAAATAAAAATAAGTAGGAACAAAATTACAAGGAAATAATGATAAAAGTCATGAATTTAAATAAGGTAGACAAATTACACAAAGCGACATACGAGCGTAAGAATTCATCATATCATCGAAATCAAATTCAAGAAATATATGCAAAGCCTAACCCTAAGTATGTTCTCCGGTAGAGTCGTCATTACGTCATAGAGCAACATCGACGCGAGGCGACAAATTTGGGCAAAATAAGCAAATAATAGCAAGTACACAAAATAGGCAAAAATGAAAAAATTAGCAAAAATCCTTGAAGTTGGCAAAAAAACGATAGCAAAATTGATGAAAATGATAAAAGTGGTAAAATTGGCAAAGTTGGCAAAAATCATAAAAGCAATAAAAAAATAACAAAGTTGGTAAAATCAATAAATTTGGTGAAACATGGCAAAAAAAAAAGAAGCAAAATTCAAAAAAATTGGTAGAAACGGAAAAAAACAATCCGATAGCAGGGGTTCGGATTGACATGACCATGAATATCATGACTTCTAGGCAAAATCGATAAAAATACCAAATTAATTGCCATAATGTGTGACAACGGTCCAAAACAAGGCTTGGACAAATGTGGCTCGGAAATCACTTTTTTAAGATAAATTAGCACAATATTAATTCACCATTACAATGGGCAAAATGATCCTGAAATGAAATTCAAACCGACGCCATTCAAAAATCACATTTTCAACAAAATGTCAAAATTAATTGATATTTGACAAAACTAACCTAAATAACAAGTTTTCAATTGACATGATCCACAATTGTGTGTTTTTTATATATATATATAAAATTAGCGCATGAGTGATTTAATGTTATTATCAACAAAAATGGGCCAAAAACATGGCATGAACCGACATAGAGGAAAAATCAAATATTTTACGATAAACTAGCACGATTACGTTAACTCGTCACGATTCACCAAAAATGATTGAAAACCGAGATTTGGACCAATGCGTCTTAAAAAGATCACACGAACATCAATAAACATCCAACTACATCAACAAGCACAAATATTAACCAAACCCATAAATATCAACCGAGCCAACACAAATGCAACAACAATTTGATTAAACCATATAAACGAGTAAAGTTTAATCAAATCATGAACATGCTTGATATTTAATAAATTTACACAAAAATGGTTACTTAATTAATTAAAGACACATCGAGTATAAATTGAATTTAATACATATTAAAATAAAATAAAATAAAAGATAAAAAGTAAATTACTATAAAAAAGGGCGAGAATGAATTTGTTTGATGAACTCGGGGTCGGTTTCGACCTTTTCAACCCCAATAGACACTAATATTCAATCAACCGGGGAGGAGAGATAGATGTTTATTGTCGAATCTAGATTGGGTGGTCGTTGGATGGGTCTGGATCGACTGCGATGGTCGTTGGAGGGGTACGTATACGAGTGTCACTACTAAAGAGGCACGCAAGTGAATGTTGGTTGCTAAAGGGGTGTGTACATGGAGGAGGTATGATTGACTAGAGGCTAAAGCCGTAGGCAAGGCGTATGTAGGTGTGGCTAGCGAGATAGATCATGAGTAGAGGAATTATGGCTGAATGAGACGCATGGGCACGAGTATGGGCTGCTTGGATGTGGGAGATCGACCGGTTGTGTTGTGGGCTAAATAATTGCTTCAAAAGATGGATTGATGATGGTGGATTGGGTGATATTTTTTAGAGAAAGGGATGTTGTTGCTTGCGGTAAGGCCTAAACGGCAATGAAGGGTTGGGCGAGTAGCGAGCTTCGTTGAAGGAGAGGCTAAATCGAAAGGTCGACAATAGCGATGTGATCGATGGTCAAAATTGTGATAGGGAGAGCCGGTTGGCTGTTTTTTTAGAGAGAAATTCTAAAATTTTTTAGAGAAAAGGTGGTTTTTATACTGATTTTTTAGGATTTTTCACTAAAGTTTAGTTTGGTCCCTTATTTCACCAATCTATTTTATTTTGGTCCTTTTCTCTTCCTTTTTTAATTGCATCCCTCAATTTTTATCCTTTTTTCATTTTTATTATTTTTTATTTTTTTGAAAAATTTTGGATGCTAACATATATCATGAGACCTATAAAAATATAAATTATGATAAGAATATAAGCCATATATGTCTCTCCGAATTGCTCAAATATTTATAGGGTTTTCTTTTGCCCTCGACGATTACTAAGCTTAATCTAACTTGTTCTTGGCGTGAACTTTGTCATGATTGGACATGCAACAAGCAAAAAAAGGTATCCGACTCGGTTCAAATCATGCATACATGTATTGTATATTCATTGTATTTGTTTTGAGCAATTTTTTAAGACTTTGAAGCATAGATTGCTCCACTAAAACACAACTTTCTCCTCTTATCTACCATACCTAACTCGGACGTCGATAGATGGAAAATGAAGAAGGAACACGGTTAGGACAAACCAGCCAATAGGAATTGGAGTCTATAAAGAGTGATGTCGCTCGCTTAATCAATCTGTTAGAAAAGGTTCGAATAAGAGGAAGCAATTTGAATCAAGGGCAAGCTTAGAATGATATGCCATATGTTCCCTCAATAATTAACTTATAGCTTGGGCCATCTACTACACCACTAAACAACTTAAGGCCAACAACATTCCATGTCGAGACTTCTTACGCCATAGGATAGTTTACTTACCCGATGGATCTATTAGTTTCACAAACGCTTAGCATACCCACTATGGACCTCACCACCGAATAAACTATCAAGTACAAGGGACTAAGTGTAGACAAGCTATCTATTATTAGAGAGTGCTTGAGAGCCATCGAATGGGGTGATGCTTATGACCCTATTAGAGTTTTGGAAATATGTTTGGTACTTGGTGTGCAATTCTAAAGAAGTTCAAAATATCAAAATTCATCAAATACACTAGCACTTAGTGTCCTATGGCCTATTTGAGGGTCTATTGTAGTAAAATGGTTGAGGTAATATATGTTAAAAAGTTGTTGATACATTTCTTTCATGAAAGTCTAGGAGGGTCAACCTTAAGCTAGTATATGAAATTGGAGGTAGCTAAGATCAAGAAAGGAAAAGACTTAGTCGACACCTTTATTAAACAACATAAGTTTAATATGGAGATAGCTCCAAAACATTTTGACTTTCAAGAGAAAGAGAAGGGATCGAAGAAGACTATAAAGGAATATACATAAAGGTGGCACGAAGTGGCTGAATATA